ATTTCAATAAACAGCTACTTAGAAGTCTTAAATAAGTAAAATGAGTGTTTTGAAATAAGCTGTGTCTATTAATATGTAGCACTGGATGAAAAACCGGATGGGTGAGACAAAATATTTCTCTGGATTAGTAGATTATAACAAGAAGAAGAAACCTGGAAAAGCAATACGCAGTTCCTTACCTGTTTGGAAAACTATCCTGTATCCACATGTAGCCATCATTTTTCAAACCTGTGGAGGGAGTAAAGGTAATAAGAGGTCAATATAATCCTGATTTATAGCAAGATCTGGTATTGGTCTCATTGGGAATGTCCAAAGTTTTCCCATGGGATGCTGTTGGATATAACATAAATTGCCTGAAGGTTTTTCAAACAGCACTGTTAATTTTGGACAGAGCTCTGTGTAGGTCCAGGCAAGTTTTGTTACTGTAAGCATCTGTCTTTGCTCTGATTTTGATTTTGTTTGCTAAGAAAGTAAATGTACTCTGTTTTCAGTCTTTGATACCAGTTTTCATTTTAAAGCAAAAAAATCGTCTTCCGTAATGAAGAAATATTTTCTGTTTTCTCTGACACTTTAAGACCTGATAATATTTCCTCAATTTTTGTGGGGTCATTTCAAAAATAGAACAAGACAAAGCCAAATGGAAAAACCTTTACTCAGCCTTGGTCTGGTAGCAAGAAGACAATATAAGTTCTTACACAGAAGAAAATTAAGATGTGAGATACAATCCATGCGCAATCTCAGATTGAATAATCTGTTTGTAGTTAAATGGTTCAAAAATATGAAGGTGATCATTAGAGCTGTTAGTGATAGCTCTAAAGTTTTAGTGGACTTTTTTTTTTTAATGAGGAAGAAAAAAATAATTCACCCAAATTGTAAAAAAACTATGTAAAGTCTATCAGGCTTTTTACAAACCTAAAATATGAAAAATAGGATAGGAGACATTTTAACTGAATTTATAATAGGGAAAAAATTTTCTAGCATCCATTCAAAATTCTGTGTGGTTAGTTGACTTTCAACATTTTCTTTTACTCAGTGTAAAAATCCTAAGCCTTTCCCTAAGCTAATTCCTAAGCAGAACTTTTTTTCCAATGATTGCATTCTGACCACCCTTTTTCTTCCATTTTTTCCCACATTTCCATTGTGGTTTTTAGTGTTTTTCTACTAGCAATTGACTATCATGAATTTTTAGACCACTCAGAAAATGATTTTTAAAAGTACAGAAAAATGTATATTAAAACCAGGGTAGAGAGTGTTATCTGAGTTTTTCATTGCTCATTACTTCTCTCTATGTTGTCTGACATATTTATTTGTCTTCTGATTCCATGTACATCCTGTTGCCCTACAGCAGAGTTTCACATAGTGAGTGTATCAGACTTGCAAGATAAAAAGCTGTCAGTGCATCTGTTCTGATCTTTCAATTGCCTCACAAATTTTCTTGCATTTTTGTCTTATTATTCTTCCTACAATATAATAAAATCTGTGTAAAAACTCTGAAAAGTCTCTCTGGTAGTCAAGGCTATTTAAGTCATTTTTTTAGCAATATATTGGACTGATATAAAATATGGTAATTTATCTTTCTTGATTAGGATGTCTGTGTGATTTAAGAACATATTAAATTACAAGATTATGGATTTTTGACTGAAGAAATTGTCCTGTTTCATTTATCATTTCAATATAGATTTTTTTAAACTGTCCATGATTTAACTCATAAACCATAATGACTTATTGAATCTTTGTTACTGAATCAGCAGCCTCTAAGTTAACTAATTTGTGTCACCATTTGATTTTGAAGAATGAGCTGCTTGAAGTAAGTTAGAAACCAGGATTGAAAAAATTATTTTTCAAGTGGAATGTGAATCATAAATAAAATCTCTTTTCACCACCTCTGCCACATTTGTTGATAACAGTCAACAGTTTTGTAGGGACTCAAAAAAATGATAAGATTAAAAACTAACTAGATTTTTGAACTTATAAAGGAGCATGCTATGAACTGTCTATGATTAACATTTATATCCGTTCATCGTGTATCTGATCCTCTAAGCATTTTTTTTCAGAAATCAAATTTCTAGAATTTCTGGAATTTCTGGAATTTCTTGGGGTGCCATATATGCCAAATCCACATGTGCAGCTACACTGAGATATGGTCCAGAACTATTAAGACATATATCTTGTTCATCCAATATTTCAGTTCATATATAAGCATGAACTATTAATTTTTTAAGTTACAATGCCTTTCCAGTAAGTAAGTTTCTCTAAGTTCTTATAGGTCAAAGCTTTTTTAGAAGTCAGAAGGTGTCCTAGTAGCAGGAATGTTTCAAAAATGTCACCTATTTTACCTCAGAAGTGAAAATTTTCAAGTTTCTCACCTTCACTGCAATTGCAATATTTAATTTCACACATTTAGTATGTTTAGATAAACTGAGATCACTTTAGGAACTTAAAATTTATCATAGTTCTCATTCAGAGTTATCTATTAAAAGAGTTGGGAAGTATTTGTTTCGTTTTGCCTTGTTTTCCAGAATATAACCTGTACTATTTTAATCCACACATGTGGATATGCACATGTACTCAAACAAATTTGTGTATGTTCCTAATTATAATCATACAGCCTTTGCTTGACAGTTCCTCTCTGTGTTGAAGAGTAGGTATTGAGTCTGCAGGAGAAATGCTTTTCTGTTAATAAAACTTCTGGCACAGCAGGTTGTCTGGAAAATCAATCTAATTTTTCCTCATGATCTACAGAAGCAAGGGAGAAATATCTAAGGGACCAATTACCTTAAATTTCATGGCTACTTTAGTATTGAGTCAATCAAATGTGGAATACCAATACATCTGCACAGCATGGGTGACTGTATCCTGTTATCTTGATGAATAGTCGGTGTAGAAATATGAAAGACAAAAACACTAAGGAGGGATTACATACAGTGTTACAGTGATATTAAATATCATCAGGCAAGATGATATCTTACTGTGTGTCCAATTTTAATGAAAAAAATCAAGATGAAACCAAATTAATTCAATTGAATTAATTTTGAAGCATAGATGTCTCAATACCTGGAAATTAGAGATCATGCATTTTCTTCCAGTTATAGACGGAAAAATGTGCCAAAATTCTGCGCATGGTGGTACAATTGGTTCATACTTAACTACCTGTTCTGTGTAATCCACCTCAGTCACTGAGATCTAGAGACTGCAATCAAGTCAGAGGGATGAGGATCTTATTTATGGATAGCATATGAAAAAGCAGAAATGAAAGAAATTTGAATTAACATTTAATTGAAATAATTAAAAACTTTTGTTACTTTACCAGTCAATTATTTGTTTGGGTTTCTTTTTCCTTTTGAATAGTTCTTCATTCAGGAACTAATGAGATTTCAGAGAACATGGCTTTTTAGTTATTGCATAACAACACAGTGTTTAGCACTCTTTTTGATGGTTGAATATTGTGATACAGACCTGTCTTCTTTTTGACTTTTATAAACGTGTTTAGTCACCAAACGAGCAGATATTTCAACACATGTTCTTCATTGAACCTGAGACGGTATGACAGTTTTAGTGTTTGATATTGACAAAATAATTAAGTACTGAGGTGTCACTGTAGTATGAGAAAAATGGACCTTCTCCCTGTCTCTGGTTATAGACCATAAAATATCCAATAAACTGTGAAAGAGACTAGTAGTGTTGATTTCATACAAGGGGATTTTGAAAAAGCCAATCATTTCCAGTGTGTTACAATTAAAAAAAAAAAATACCTTCTCCCCCATCCCCCCCAAAATATAAAGGAGAGAGAAAAAGAAAAACAATAGATTCACTATTTCTTGTAATGCATATTCTGTGAAGAAATGTTGCTAAAAATTCTCTGCCCAAAAGAAAAGAAATAATCTAGTGTAAATTCCTTTTCAAAAAGTACACAGCATTCAAAATCTGGGATGATAAAACATGCAGTAAAAACATTAATTTTAGGCACATTCATACCATTGGTACACTTACTGACTTATTGACTTTTTTACCTTTTCCTTACATAATTATTACCATTTTCCTTACATGATTATTACTGACATTTAAGACAGAGAATGTCCCATATTTGCTTTGTTAGTGTAGAAATCGGTTTCACAGAGACATTTAAAAATAGATCTATCCCATTAGCAGCACTGTATGAAATATGGGTTGAACTATTTTTCATAGCAGTAGTGTACCTGTGCACACTGTATTTTATTACTAATGGCATGGTTATTAATCAAATGTTCCATGATGTCTACTCCCTATTCAGTGGTTCTCCAGAAGTTGTCATAGTGGTGACTCATATTATTCTACTCTTTAAGGATTTGATTTAAATAACTCAGACTTAATAGGATAGATAGGAAATTACATCTTACTGTGAGTTGGAATAAGTTCTAGTTCAAGCATGTGTGTCAGAAGATCTGCAGGTAGTGGTAAGAGTCTGCAGCATTCTGGTTACTTCTTAGCTATAGACGAAATCTATTCAAAATAGTGACGGAAAACAGTCTGTTAATCTCCTATTTCTAAGCAAAAAGGTTCAAAACTCATACACAAGAGATTTTCAGAGAGTAAAAAAAAAATTGACATTAATTGGAACTGAAATTTGCAAGATCATATTGTTTAATGTGTAACTGTGAACTTGCACGTGAGCATCTATGTTGCTATGTAATAGCAGTTGATTGACTCAGGATTCCTGAGTTCACTTGCATTAAATTTCACTGACATCATCAGTCAGCAAATATGCAGAATACACCTTTAACACCCCTGGAGTATGTGGTTTAGGTTTTTTGTTGTTGCTAGTACAATAAGTATTTCTTATCACGTTTTTGCATTTTCCTGACAGGCATCCTTTATATAAACTGCCAGTGTACTGTATTGTGTCTGGGGTTCAAGGTTTGCAGCTATGTTAAATTTGACAAACATCAGTTTATGCACATGAAATACTTTGCAACACAACAGAATTTCTGAGAAATTCTCAACACTGTTGATTTTTTTGTCAGATAGTCTACATGGGCTGGACGGAAGAACGGGAACAAGACTCCCTTCAGGACCGAATGTACACACCAAAGTTTCTAGCACTGAGGGGATCTTCCCTGTATAAATTTATAGCACCTCCAGTAAGTATGCTCCTCACGTTTAGTGGGAATAAATGTTATGGAATAAAATAATGTCATGTGATGTGTACAAGTCTTTAACAAAGAGATATCTCTCATTGGGCTAGTAGGACTGCAACTAACGGCATTGAAAAGTTCCAAAGGGTGTGGTATAGAAGTGATAGAAAACATCTCTTCATCAGATGATTGGGTATCTAGCAAGAATTTATTTTCCCCCACTTGAATGAACACTTAGAAAAATAAAAGAGAAATCTGCTCATGTTAAAAGGGAGCTTTTAATTTTCCCATGGCAGACAGAACAGGCCCAAAGCAAGATGGTTAGATTTAAACTGAACAATCATTCTAGTGAAACTTCTGAGATTTGGGAAAACATCAAAGTTTTTCACATGCTGTGGAGATGGCAATATATTTCTGTTTAGATTCCATCCTGAATGTAAGTTTTTGCTGCTTAAGAGCACTAAAAAGAAGGTAGGGAATAAATGAAAATGTTTAAGTTAAATATCTGAATTGGAATCTCACTGGAAACACTGGGTAAAATTTTAACGTTCATCCTATATTCAGTAATTTTCTTTCTTACAATGTTACGGTACATCTAAGCTGCAGTAAAAATCCTCTAGCTAACTTTTAAGCCAGTTGCTAAGGAGACAGTCGCAGTCCCATGCCTGCAGCAGGAAGAGTCATGTGGATTAATTTTTCCTGTTTATTGGGTGACCTTTCTGACTGCTGCTAAACCCTGTGTTTGTCAGATCCAGGCTGTAGCTCCTTCCTGCCTGAAACAGAATCATCGAATAGTTCGCGTTGAAAGGGAACATTAAAGGTCATCTAGTACAACCTCCCTACAGCAAGCAGGGACATCTCCAAGTGGAGCAGGTTTCTCAGAGCCTGTCTAACCTGGTCTTCAGTGTTTTCAGAGATGGGGCATCTGTTACCTCTTGGGGCAACCTCTTCCTGAGGTAGTTCAAAGCCATCTTGCAAATCTTTAGATTGATCATCAGTAACTACTGGTGTTTGTTTAGCAAAACGTTTAAAAACATGTGAAAGACATGGGGAATGGAAGTAAGTAGGAGCTGAAAGCTTCATGGGTTCAATGTTTTTAGACCAGGATCTTGGCTCTCTCAGTCTATTAGTGGAAGCTTGGCTTTTTTTGGTGGATATTTTTCAGGATCAGATTAAAATGTCAGATTATGCTAACAAGCACCTTAATTCAAAACCAGCTCTCCTGTCTTTGCCAGACCTACTTGAGCATTTGCTGCCTGTCAAATAAAACCAACTCCATTCTGGGTACTAGACAGAATCAGAATAAATGATGAGAAATCCTGTTCAATACAAAACAGGAAGATTATTCTTTTTTAAGAACTATGGAAGTTCTTAATGGAAGAGACCACAAGCCTCTTTACTGAAGAATCATGAATTTATAAGAACAATATAGTTGTAGAGGGTAAATGTCTGATGGGCAGTGATTAATGGATGTGAAAGGAACATGTTCACATGGTGATGTAAGGAAAATTTTGTCAAGCTGCTATTGTATAAGGCAAGAAATCCATCCTCTGGTTTTTGTAGCTCTTGTTTCAGCTCAGCTGCAAGCACAAAATGAATTTGTATTGTCAGATTCTGGTTCCCAATCTAAAATAGAAAAACTGTTCAAATGCAGAGAAAAATATTTTCTCTTCATGAAGTAGGAGGGAAGCAGAATGATAACTGTGTTTTTTTTAGGACAGAGGAAGAATTCCTACAGAGCTGCCTTAAAGACTTAGAATGTTTGGGTTAGAAGGGACCTTAAAGGTCATCCAGTTCCAAAATGTAATGTATATAGTTCCACACGTCTAAATTCCTATTTTCTATATGCAAACTTTTCACACATACAATTATGTTTGCTATTCTGCAAGTTTGTCTCTTCCAGGGATTAGAAATTATTGTGAACAAAGTTTCAATGACAGTTTCAGAGCTTCTTTTTAAGAGATGTATAAAGTGTAGTTAAAATAAAGACTGTTTTAATTACATGTGCAGTATAAACTACTTGGACAAAGTTGTTTTCTGAGATGTCAGAAAAGAGATGTCCTGCAAACTTTCTAAACCAGAAAATCAAACAAAAGTGTTTCCCCAGTCTCTGCCAAAATCTAACACATTAGGGAAGCACGTGTTTAAATGATGTCTATCAACAGCCTCCCCCTGCCTCTTTTTTTATCTGTTTGATCAATAGTACTTCTACTTCAGATAAAAGAGCAATCCTAGTGTTTCTTATTTGCATTTTGAAATTTTTAAAGACAATTACTCCTATAGTATTATTTTTTCTACTATTTCCTGATACATTTCCTTCTTTAGAAATATTAATTGTATCAAGTCTGGTAGGTTTCAATATCGTCCAATTTATAATTTGAAATTTACTCGAGAAAGAGCCACTAACACCCTTTCTTTTTCTACTCAATATTTTAAATTAAAACATCAAAAGTGACTGGTGCAGCAATTTCTATGGGCATCTTAATTCTACAATTGCTTTTGCTTTGCACATGTCTTTACACAGAAAGAGTTTTGGTTTGACCTGAAAAGAAGTCCCTTTACAGGTACAAACAAAAGCAGGAAACCAGGGCAGAAGAGGGAGCACTTATATTTTCCCCCAAAGTATGGAGCTTATTGTAAATTTTTAAGCATAGCTCCAAATGACTTTGTTCTTCAGGAGCAACAGTAATGACTTTTCCTCATAGCACAGTATGACTTCACCTGGTGTGACGGGGTGTTGTGGGCTCAGTGGGGCTGTAGCAAGACTCCTCTCCCCATTTTTCTGTTCATGGTGAGAAATTTATCTTTTTGTCCGTAGGAGAAAGAGTAACTTTGCGGTTTAATACCCTCAGTTCAATAAGATAGTAAAGACTGCATTTGACAATGACTTCAAATAAAGAAAATCCTAATAGAAGAGTAACTATGGCACTGTCTTTTCGAACTTTTCCTTCCTGCCTGTGATTTCCCTAAAGGACTTTCCATTACAGTAATGTTTATAACTAAAAATGAGTTAGGGATAGAATTTTCTCATACAACATCAAAATAATTTTGATCTATTAATGATTATTTTCTGTTTAGATAAGAGATAAATTGACCTCATAGAATATTTTGTTCCTTGGGCTCTGGAAACTATTTTATTAAACATTTTTCAAAAAGTTCATCTTGAATCTTGTAGAAACAGTAACATATGTTTTCATCAACCTCTTCATTGTGCCTAATAAATTTAATGATACAGCTGTCTTCCTTTGGATATGGGCCACTGTCCAGTGTCTTACCATTAAGATGATTATTCTTTCATTCATAACCTAAATTTCATTCTAGTTTGTGCTTTCCTCTGTATTTTGAAGCTTTAAATATTCTCCTGTTTTCTGCTTGCATTTTCTTTGGAAATTTTATACACTGTTCTGATATTGCCTTAACTCTTCCTTTACTGAGTATATTCATCTACCCCTTTCTGTCTCATTTAAGTCTTAACACCTACCCTTCCATGATTTAATTCAATTCTTTCATATATGCATTTTTTCTGTGTAATACAGTTGCCTAAAATATTAAAAAATAAACAGTTAAAAACAGTTGTGAAATCCCAAAACAAAGAGGAAACAAAAAGGAGGAAACAATCTATTCTTCAAATCTTAGTTTGTTAGAATTTAGGAGTAGATTAATCTTGGTAAGAAAAAAAGAAAGTGAATATCTGCCTGTGTTGTTTCATGCTTTGTTTTTTTCCCCCTGGATTTCAAGGCATGTGGGGTAAGTGTTTGGGACATTCCAAGGTTGGAGACTGGTTTTGTGAACTTGCAGACACTGTAGGTGGCTGGGAGCAAATAGTGGCATGCAGTTACAAGGAGGAAAGTGGTGAGAATCATGTTTTCTAGTAGACAGGGCCCTGGCTCTGTGAGATGAATTCAAGGGCTGTATCCTCTCAGGATCTCACTGCAACCCCTGCAAGTTCCCAGGGGAGGTTTCGTTTTGCAGAGAGCAGTCTGCATGCAAAGGAGCTGCATTGTAAGGACAGGGAAGATTTCTCCTAAGCACTGCCTGGATGGAACAGTCTGCTCCCTGCTAGTTGTTCCTTTGAGGCAGTGCTTGGCCTTTCTGAATTTATTTTAACCAATGTAAATAGTTTAGGGATTTTTTTTTTTCTTAATAAACTTAATTCTTGAAACCAACAAAAATAACTTTTTTTTTCTGTTTATTTTGTGTTTTGTTTGTTTTTTAAAGGTCACAACCTGGGATTGGACACGAGCTGAGAAAACATTTTCAGTTTATGAGATAATGTGCAAAATTCTCAAGGTATGATAAGAAAATATAAAATAAATTACCACTTTGACAGACAAAAGCATAACACTAACTACCTTGCAAAAAGAGATCTATTTTTTCCCTTTAAAGTGAAATATCAAAAGTCCTGATGTCAGTAGATACAGAATCAAACTAGAAGGCATGGGAAAAATTGGAAATAAACTAATTTTGACTAGAAAAGTACCTATTTCTCCATAATGCTGTATGGGATTTACAGCTCCACTTTAATGTCACATTTAACTAGTGTAGCATTTCTTTACCTAACTGAGGACCTAAAGAAGCAGTGATCAGTTTGGTTGCTTTCAAATATGTTGATGGAACTAATAGCAGCTGCAATGTATGATTTCACTAGGACTGAGAGCAGAATCTTTGAAATATGCAACACTATTTTGAAAAGTTTTGTCCTATTTTTTCCATTTTCTTCAGTCTTCCTGGAGTGTAATAAAAGGGAAGAGATAATGATACATGTTTAGAAAGTTAAAATTATGAGTAGCAAATTAAATAAGACTATTATTGTACATAGTTTTTAATTTTTAATTGTGAATTAAATCAGAATTATTTTATGTGGTCTTCTCTCTGTTTTAAAAACAGTGAAAAACAGATGCTCAAAATTTCTTAAATGAGAAGGAAAAGAGATGCCTTCTTCTATTCCTTTGAAGTGCTTTCTGGTTTATGTTGGTTTTGGGGGGTTTGGGGGCCAAATTATGTAAAAGATAATTTTAACATTTCTCTAGTTTTATCTAGGCAGAGACAGACTAGTGTCAACAAGAAATATGAAAATACTATGCTTCTAAAATATTTTTCCCACTGGAAAGACCTTTTACTGGCATAAATGATATATTTCTCAGGTTTTGTAGGTCACATAGGTGCGCTACATTTTCCTTAGGGAGGCAGATTAAAGTTGGAATGGCTCAATAAAATTCAGAAACTTTTTGCACTTGAGACTTCAATAGAAAAAAAATAATCAAAAAAACCAACCACAAAACCAAATATATAGTCTGAAAAAATCCACCTTCCTAGCAATCTGAACAGAGAAGTGAAAAGTTTAATTTTGCCACTGTTGGCTGTGAGGTTTGGGGTCTTATCAAGGAGTAGAACATGCCAAATGGAACACATCCCATCACTGTGGCATGTCCTTCAGTTACTGAGTGCCTGCAAATATTGGCTCCTTGGAAGTGCTCATGCTGGGAGCTGAGTAACAGGACAAGTTCACTCAGTGAAGGCATTGCACTGAGGGTGTAAATGAACAATGCTCCAAGAACACGGTCAGCCTTTGGAAAGGTTGAAAAATGCCACTTCTTACGTGCACTTTTTTTCCCCCATTCTCTTTGGTAACCTCTGCTTCAGGCCTTGGGCTTAATGCAATAAGCACCAAGGTAGCTCTTTGTCAGAGAACTGAGCACTTTGGAGCTAGGGTGACTCTTCCTTATCACTTATCCAAAGATTTTTTTTTTTACTTTTTGAATAGAAATCTCTGGAATGCGTGCTGTATAATTTTTTGTAATTTCAAGGTCCTTCTTCTTTTAGCCATTTGCATTTGTTGATGCTCTTCTTAAGTCACTTGCAATTTTAGGCATTTTTCTTTTCCCCTCTTTTTTCTATGTCTCCTATTCTTGTATAGCAATACATTGTTTTTTTGTTCTTTTTTTTTTAATTTCTCAGCCATGTAGCAGAAGTTATTACAGCCAAGGAGACAGTTCACAAAGCAGTAAAACCTAAACCAGTGCCTTCCTGGCACTGATGTGTGGAAGCACATAAAAAAGTACGAATGTGCTGGTTTTTTTTTATCATCCAACCCTCCAAACTATCTGGGAAGATTTTCCAGCCTCAGTCTGTATTAACAGAGAAGCAATTCCAGCATAAGTAATAGAAGAATATAATTTATATGTTTCTTTACCACTTTATTGATATTCAGTTATTCATTTATTGTCTGTAAATATGGTCAGGCTTATAAAATGCTGAAATGTTCCAAGCAAGTTCTTTAGCTGACAAAAACCTGTAAATAATAAAAACTGGAAGTGGAAAAATCATTGCAGTGGAATTGCAGGTTCTGACATTGGAGCATTAATCTTCACCATGTTCTAGTTTTCTACAGCAGGTGCTATAGAACTTAGCTATGGTTTCACTAAATATAAAAGCAAATAAAACCAAGAAAAACAGCTTCCCATTACACTACTATATTGAACATCTGTAGAAACTCAAGGTTTGTTCAACTTTTATGCCAGCATCTTAAAAGTCTCCATTTAAGTAATGACTGGTTTTTGGACCCATTTGAACAAGCCCCATGGATATTACTGAACCAGAGGCTCAAACTTTTTCCCTTTTATAGTACCTCAAATGCTACTTTTGTTATAAATCTATTTGGCTTGGCGAATGACACAGCTTTTCTGGCTAATATTCACTTCAAGTAGAAGGAATTGCAAGGGCTGTGCTAACCTTTGCATGAGATAGCTGAGTGAGTTGTGCTTTAGAGTTAAGTGTTACCACATAATTTACTAAGCAAAGTGTATCTCTATTACATGGCTTGCTTGCATTTGAATGAGATATTTAAAAAAAATCGTCCACATTTAGACTTATATTCATCAGCTGTCACTCAAGGTAGCTGGTATTTTCTCCTGTGTATATTGGCAATTTCAATGACTGTCCCTTGTGCCACAGGGACAGGACTTAACATGTCTGTATCTATTTTTTCTCCATTTTCCACTTAAATGTAACTAAAATTCTGATGAATTTAAACAGTCTAGATTAGAGAGAGATTTACTGTACCAAGTTTCTCTTTTTAAATAGAATTGTAATTTTCCTTAGTTTGAGAGATTTCTCTGTTTCTCTTCATGACAGAAGCACTAGAGTGGAGAAAATGAACTACCAGATCCTACTGAATGTTCATTAATATTTTAGTGTTTCAGGATAAGAGAATAATTCCTCTTCTGGTAACAATAAAAATATTGAAACAGTAAACAAATATTAATATCTACACACAATACTTTGTCTACTACAAAGTACTTAACTGATTTAAACTTCAGGAAAATTATATAGTCCAAAGATGTTAAATGAAACCTAAAACTTGTCTTCCACCATGACCAATGTTTTCTTTCTATTTACTTGCATGTGTTTAGTGTTCTTTTTCATCTAGCATCCATTCCAAAGACTGATTCCTTTCACAAAAAATATAGAAGATTGGGATGCCATTTTCAATTGTCACAATGGCCTTAGTCTCGAGCAGCTACAAGGCAGGATGTTCTGTACCTTGTTCAGAGATATCAGAGATTATTACGTGGTTTATAGCTAGTGGATTCATATTTATTACGCATCAAATAAATCTATTTTGTTGTAACTGTATACTTTTTTCTTTTATTTTCTGCATCAGATTACAAAGAAAAGGAAGAGAAAGCAAGGCATTGAGTCTGAATTCTAATTTGATTAGGACCTCCTAAATAACCAGGAAGACCCTTAAAATTTGAAACATGAAAATACGCTTTAAAAAGCAGTCTTTTCACTGTGTGAAAAATAGTTTTATTGACAAAAATTCAGCAAAATATCATTGAGCCTCTAATTCAGTATTTACAGTTTTATGTAGTAAACAAATAAAAATTTAAAAAACCCCGAACTCTCAAAACCACTTTCATACACTACCATACAAAATGTAATATAAAAAAAGTTCTGTATAAAGTTTACAAACTACAAAATAAAAATACTTATCACATAAATATAAAGCTCTTCATTGTCAAGATTTTGAGGATGAAATAATATTTTTTGACATGAAACCTAAGTAAAGCAAGCTGAGTACAAAAAT